CTTTCCCTCTATGTCCCTTGTGTTCCTCTTTCTCTCCCTGGCTGTGGTTCCCATCCTCTCACCCATAAAATCAGCATAAAATTGACCTGACTGTGCCAGATCAGATGGAGGAGTTGGGCTTCAGATCCCTGGAGAGAAGGAAATTCAGTCTTTGTAAAAATATTATAAGACAAGGTCCGTGAAATCTCACAATGGGATTATGTAATGTACCTTTGTCAGTCTTTGTCACTTTTTTCCTCCCTCCCTTTCCTCTCTGAACTCTGGTCAGCACTGGTGGAGAATATACTGGCAGATTAACGTTTGCCACACAGTGCAACGACTAGGGTGGATTCTGAATAGAAGTGAAAATACAAAAAAGAAGGGGTTAGGTTATGAAAAATCCTTTCTGGTGAAGGAAGGTTGAAGGTTGGGTTCATGCACGACATGTTAAATCACCAGAGCGTTCATTCTGCTAGTCACTGCTTCATCTGAAATCAGTTCCAACACAGCAGAACTGAATCATCAGCACTGTTGCTGTGGATTAGATCAGAATGCAGAAGCAAGTGTTTCATTTCAGATATGATGGGAAGTTCATATTGTTAGTCTGTAAATTGATGCTGACATGAAAGAAGAAATGGTTAACATGCAAATGCTCTAAATTTAACTTAACTCATTGATATAGCTGCCGTTTGTTTGTCGATACAACCTGAAACTTAAAAAAAAAAAAAAGTACACTGCTGCAGCTAAATCTGGTTGTCAGTTCACCTTTTGGTGCTTAATCCTGTTCTGTACACACACAGTTCAGTCATTTATGGGAGTGACAAGCGCATTTTACAAAGGAATTGACTCGAGGAAAATTCAGGTAGTGACAACCACTTTTAAAGAAATTCTGCGCTGTGTGTACGGAACCAAACTGAACAACTAGTTGTATTTAAACACTTATCAGAGTTGTGTCTCTCTTCTGTATGCGCAGTGCAAGAAATCGCAGTGAACAAGGTACGTCGAGACTCATTAGTGTTGCCAGATCTTGCTAGAGAAAAAAAAGCAAATGGGAACAAACCCATAATAAACTTAAATGCTTTATCATGGAAATAAGCTACATACCAAAATATTGTGACCTGCATGTGCATACGTTATAAACTTAAATATTATTATCATAAACTGGATCGCTTTATGAGCCGTGCCCAAACAACAAACCCAAAGATGCTTATAAAGCATCACTTTTTTTTTTTTTGCTACGTGTACTTGAGAGAGTACACCAAGACTTGTCATTTGCACTTACATCTTGTTGCTCTTTTGTTAGTTTTGATTGCTTCTATTGTCCTCATTTGTAAGTCGCTTTGGATAAAAGTGTCTGCTAAATGACTAAATAAATAAATGACTTTTAATAAGTGGATATGGCAACCCTTAAAGAGTGCAAACTGCGAAGTAGCCCTCCAAAATTAAACAAAAGACGATGCTTCTGTTGAGAGTGATAAAAATCTGAACATAATATGCTTTGGTAAAAAATATTGGATACTAAACATGTGTGATGCCAGAATGTTGCTGTGGTTATTGTAGTGTCAGTAATCACAATTTCGGTACATAAACAAAACTTATATGTAATTTATGGGATTCACTTTTGTATTTAAATGCGGTTGTCACTCCTGAAACTTTATAATATGTGTGTGGCCCTAGAGTGCTGTGGGTGGTTGCTAGGGAGTTGCTAATCGGTTGATAATGTGTTCTAGGTGGTTGCTATGGCATCGCTAGGGTGTTCTAAATGGTTGCTGGGTAGATCCAACGTTTTTTTTTACTTATGCTGCTTTGTTTTTTTGCTTTAAACATAAGTTTAGTCATGATTTAGTCAGCGTTTAGTCACATTAGTAAAATTTTGGTGTAATTTCTCAACAAAAAAAGGTTCATTATCAATAGTGTAGCAATATATGAAGCACAGCTCACACAGAAGTCACTTTAAAACCAAGCAGCTTTCTGTTGGTCAGTGCCCAAGTTTGCTTGACCAACTTGAAAATTAGTAAAATATAGATGGGGAAATCTTTCGCCCTCATGCAAAACTCCCAGTCTCATGATTTCTGTTGACTGGATTCGCCTGTGAAATTTTGCTGAGCAACCGTAATTGTGACCGCACATTGAGTCCTGCGTCATAGTTGTTGAACTAGTTCTGTGTGATCATCTAATCTCTTCTGAGAGCATATTTATCTTTCATCAAAGAGGATATTTGAACTTCCTGTAACAGACCGGTCTTTGATGCAGGGTACTACCTCAACTTAACAGGAAAACTGAATGATGTGTAGCTGTTTGAAACTTTCGTTTGGTTCCCAGATATTTCATATAGTTATATAGCAAACTATTGATTCACTGATTCATTGTGATTCATTCTTAAGAATAACATTTTTCTTAACTGTTAACTTTTATCTTCATTTCTAACTTGAAAATAAAGTTAAGAATATTTTGTATTCTCAAAACAATTTCTTGACAGAAATGGTTCTTAGGATAGTTCTAAAGACAAAACTTGAATTGAATCTGAATTTCTGAAAACAATGTTCTCAAAAATTATCGTAAATATCCTCTTAAAGTTAGGATAACCTCCAACTTGTCTTAAAACCCCAAAGGTAAGATGTTTAATGACAAGTCAAGCCAGTAGTGATGAAAACGGTGTGCACATTTATTATGATTATTATGGTAATATGCAGGCAGTGCAGAAAGAACTGAAAGTCTTCAGCAGGAATTGGCATACAATCAGAAAACACCAAAGCGAGTAATTTTTTTTTTCCTTATGAAAAAAGCAAGATGTTCTAAAGAAAATATTAAAAAAGTTCTTAAAAATTGTTCAAGAATTGCACTTAGGAACATTACAAACTCTTATCTTTATCTTTATTTCAAGGGGCCATATGATGCGATTTCAATTTTTCCTTTCTCTTTGGTGTGTTACAAGCTCTTGGTGCATAAAGAAGATCTGTAAAGTTGCAAAGACTAAAGTCTCAAATCCAAAGAGATATTCTTTAGAAAAGTTAAGAGTCAACCGCACCTACCTAAAACGGCTCGTTCTAACACGCCCCCACATGTCTACGTCACGATGTGGGAAGATTTGCATAACACCGCCCAAATGTTCACGCAAAGAAAGAAGGCGTAACTTTTATTCTCGCTGTAGTATTGTTGCTGCCGCTGCTGCCATATTGTGAAGGCGCTGTGTGTTTCGTTGTGAAAGCGAAACCAGCATCACAATATGATAAGGGCGTAACATTTCCATCACACGCTTGAGGTATTCGGCCAATCACAACGCACTGGATAGCTGGCCAATCAGAGCACACCTCGCTTTTCAGACCGATGAGCTTTGTAAAAATCAATGCGTTTCAGAAAGGCGGGGCATAGAGGAGAAACAATAATGTACAGTATGTGGAAAATAATGTATTTTTTTTAACCTTAAACCACATAAACACATTTCATTACACCAAATACACAACATAATGTTCCTTTTAGCAACATCATATGACCCCTTTAATTTATCTTGAATTTATCTTAAGAATTTTCATGAAGCTGTCCCCTGGACTCATACATAAAATAATTGGAATTTTAAATTAATAATCCTAGTAACTGAAAATTATGCTCAGGAGAAAACATTGCATATAGAAGTGAATTCTTTGCAATGTCTATAGCACACAATACTGAATCAAAGTTCGAATTGTGAAGAGTGCAAAAATCCTCATCTCTATTGTCATAACATTGAGGTGTTAGATCAGCCGTACTCTGCACACCCCATTTGAGACTGTGTTTGTCTGTGCACCAAACTCATTGTCTGGTTTCAGGGTCCTCTCATTGACCTTCAGCAGACATTGAGTTGTTGTTTTGTGGTCCAAGATGATCTTTTTAGAGTGAGTCATAGTGGAGGCGTCTGGAGTTCTGCCTCATTATGTGTCACAAGGTGTGTAGTTTTTAAAGTCTGAACACACTTATTTATTTGAGGTCATGGCACTTTACCAAAAATCAAAATATTATTGAGCTGTTTAAAACTATTAAAAACTGCTATGATAATATTGAGTTATATGTGAAGTCAGTAACTCCTGTTTACCTTTTAACAAAAATAAATGTTACTGGAATAATTTAGATTTAATTAAATAAATGACATATATTAATACTAATAATGTAAATTATGTAATATAAAGATTGTAAATAAATACAAATTTAATAATAATAATAATAAGAATAGTTATTCATTTATTTACATTTTTTTATTATTTTACATATAATTATACATTAAATTACATATCAAATAAAAATATATTATTAATAATATTAATAATGAATGAATCTGACCCCTGGATTGATGCATAAAATTATTGGAATTTTAAAATAACCATTATTAAT